GAAAGAAAACAAATACTTCTGTACCTCCTTCTGCTGAATGGCTACGATGCCTACGTTTCTCTTTTCTCTTTTCATCTTTTCTGTGATGAGCTTTTTCTTTCCGAGACATTTGCTGTGGTGGTTTGATAGCCAAAGAATCATCTTCCTCTCCTCTGAAATAAGATACAAGAGCACCAGTCACACTTGAGCAAGCAGGAAGGAGTATCAGGGTATTATGAAGTTTCTCCAACCCAGAGAAGTGCAGAATTCAAACAGGAAGAAGGCTAAACCTGAACCATCATTTAAAAAATGATGTTAATTCTGGAACTTAAGCCATCTTGAGATTCAGATAAAAAATGCAAGAAATCAATGTGGTGTGGAACAAAAATGCCTTTCTGGGGACCTTTAGTGCGTTCATTTTGTGATGGTGGCAATAGTTTCACAGGCTCCTAAAAATGTGTCAAATTGCACACTATAAATACAGGCAACTAACTCATTTTGTCATTTATACTTTAAGAAAGCTATTTAAAAAGATCCTGTAAATTTTATCAACCTTAATGATCTCAAAACGTCATTTAACAATATCTTCAACTGATTTCTCTATTATGAAAATCCTGGGAAAACTCGTACCCTGAGCTTCTCAGGACAATCACTCTACCTTAATTTCTGGTTGTGTTTCCTTTAACTATCTGGCAATGGATATGGGAAGGAAACAAATGAGAAGAAAGTCATGGCACGGGAAGAAAGAACGTACAGGTCTCAGTACAAACGCTTCTGGTAAGCAGTCCCTCTCAGGCATCTTTCTGCATTCTACTTTGGCTTATTTGTGCAAACTCTTAGAGAATAATTCTATTAATCATTGTAAGATATGGTGAACTTATAAAAACGGTGCTAGCCTGACTGAACAGTCACAAAGGAAAGAATACATGCTCATTGAGTCTTTTCATAAGAATAGGGGTGAGGGGGACAGGGTGACAACTGACACCACGTAAGAGTCGATCACAACTATGCGGTGACCCTAAAGTCACGGGGGACTATACATTTGTGAAGGTGACACTGAGAAAGAGCAGCTGGGATCCCCGCTGCGCGGAGCGGCCCCTGGCTGTCCTCTCATGCTGGATCTCCCACCTGTCTTCCATGGAGTCCTCTCTTCTGTACGGCGAGTTCCTTATAGTGATCTCCATGCGGTGATCTCTCAGCTCCCCCTCTTCAAGGGAATCCCTCTTGGAATCCCGGTCATCAGACTAAGAAGCAAAGAGAAAGTTAATCAATTTTCTTATAAACGAAAGTATTTCTTAAAGATAATCAAACCTTGCCAACATCCAAAAACAAATCTTCACATACACTCTGAATGGACCAATGCTATAAAACATAAAAAATTTTCATTCAAATCCCATGACATTGAAATTGTAACTTTCTGAAACCCGAAACCTAGATGTGAAGTTTAAAACTAGCATAGATGACAAGGAACATTAAACTATTATGCCAACATGTTAGTTGCTTGTATGAGCCATAAATGATCATTAAGGCATATTTTAGACTCCAAATTCTCTGTGATACCTCATAGAGTACAGGCAAACCTTGGAGATATTGCGGGTTTGGTTCCAGACCACCACGAGAAAGCAAATATTGTGATAAACGGAGTCGCAAAAATTTGGCTTCCCAGTGCACACGTTCACAGGATACTACAGTCCACATGTGTGGAACAGCTTTATGTCTAAACAAACGGTGTACACACCTTAATTAAAAAACACTTTGTTGCTAAAAATGCTAGCAAAGTGAGCACATGCTGTCAGAAAAATGGTGCTGATAGACTTGCTCGGCACAAGGTCGCCACAGACCTTCAATGTGTAAAAAACACAACATCTGGGAAGCGCAATACAACGAGGTATGCCTGTACTTTAAATGATCTGTTACTAATCTTAGCACAAGAGGTACTTTTGCCAATGCCTCTTATCAAATTACCAAAAAGTTTTTCTGAGTATGTTATTACGCAAACCAAGAAAGATAGAAAACGTTTGTATTAAGCTCAAGGCAAGTTCCCACTATATTAAAAATGCTTGGAAATGGTATTATGAATATACTAAAAATGAAATGAGAAAAATTAGTCCAATTGTACTAATGACTTTAGGTTCAGAATATTTTATTCTTTGTGTAGACGCCCATCTAGATACAGCTTTAGTGTGTTAACAATCTGCCTGCAATGTCAACTGAGTATTTGAATGTTTTTGTTAATTTTTAGAATAGATTTTGGGCTCACCTGTGACATTTGGAAGTACAAAAGAACTTCACCGAAGAAGCGTTGTTCTAATGGAAAAATGAGGGCAAAGAAATTAAATCTCCTTTAAGAAAACCACTTACTGAAAAAACATGGCTTACATTTTTTAAGCGTTTTATCTCTGCTTTCTCCTCTTGTTCCTTCCTTCGTTTCTTTTCCTGAAGAATTTCATCTAAAGTTTTCACTTTCCAAGAGTCCTTTTCATCACCCATTTGAGTTAAAACACTGTGAAAAGAAAAATAATTCAAGCTACGTCAGACACAACGAGCTAAGTTTTAGTGCTCCGTCGTCTGTGACCACTCAAGCCTAGTCCCGTTTGAGTGCTTCAGAACAAATGCTCAAGACGGAAGAATGACGAATTCTAAGCCGGGAGAAGCAGTGCACTTCCGCAGTCCGAGCTCCTCGGGAGGCTCAGGCGGGAGGAGCACTCGCGCACAGGAGTTCAAGGCTGTAGTGCGCTATGACGGCGTCTGTTTACAGCCACTGCACTCCAGCCTGGGCAACACAGCGACACCCCGTCTCTTAAAAACAAACAAACAAAAGAACAGAGTGATGTGTTCTGAAAAACGACTGCTTGGCATCAAACCTCTCTTCTGTCATTCCTGTATGGTCTTGGGTGGCTTACTTCACCTCAGTTCACTCTGCTGCAAAATGGAAATAACACCACCTACGTGACGGTACTGTTCGAGGATTAAGGGAGATCATCCACATAAAGGCTCTTAGCTCAGTGCCTGGCACTGATCAAACAAACCTTCTGCGGTCAAAGGAATCTATTAGAGAGACAACTTGAGCGAAAGGAAGTCACTGGCACAGTGGACACATACAACTTCCGTCACAGGGTACAAGAGAAGCCTGGGAGTGGGAGATGCCCGAGAAGGTGCGCCTGCTAACAAGACCCCCTGACCCAGGCGCTCGGCTCCTACTTCCTTGGGTTCGGTCAGGCAAACTTGAGGTTCAGCCCAGCAGGGGCTGGCTCCACGGAGCGCCAGTCCCCGCCTCCTGCTCCACCCGAAGTTCCTCCCGGGACGACGCTGGACCGGGGACCGAGGAGGTCGTTCGCCCCCGGGCCCACGCCCGCCCCCGCCCGGAGGCCTGGCCGGGGATGAGACCTCGGTGCGCAGGTCCCGCCGCGCTCCCACGCCGGGCCGCCCAGCGGCTACTCACCCCTGCGCCGCCGCCGCCGCTGCCGCCGCCAGTCTCGGAACCAGAAAAGAAACAGCGTCCGGCGCGCGCCAGGAGTGTCGTCACTTCCTACGTCGGCGCCGGATGATGACGAGAGACGAGGGGTGGCCTCTAATTCTGGACTGAGAAGAGACAGCGACCAACGCGCTCCCTTTGTGGCACTTCCTGCGTCGGCGCTGGCCGATGACGCGCGGCCACCGCAGCCCCGGGTCCCGGACTCAACAAGAAACGGAGTCCGCACGGCACTTCCGGCTTCGGCGCTGGCAGATGACGCAAGAGCCCGAGAGCCGAGGCGGAGCGACTTCTGCTCTGGGAGGCCCACCACGTCCCGGGAAGCCGGACAGAGGTCAGCGTCTGTCGGGGCCTGTCGTTGGCGGCCTGACGGCCACTGGCCTCTTCGCTGCAGCGCCGGGTCCGAGCCCGCGGCAGACAGGCCCGCCCTGGAGCGAGACTCCCGCCCCGCCCCGGCCTCCGCCCACCGTCCTCCTCGCTCCGCCCGTGGGGTACGCGGGTCTGCGCTCTCAGCGCCCTGTAGGGCCGCCCCGCCGCCCGGCCCCCGCTGAACTCTGAAATTTCAGACGAGACCAAAGTCTTGCCAGGGCAGATAGAGCTCTACGGTGAGATTTAAGCTGATGCTATGGCAGCGGTTGAGTAAGCAGACTCACTGGGTAAGGTTTTTGAGAATCCCAACTCCCGCGGCCTCACTTCCAACCTGTGAAGTCAGAACCTCCCGGGAGAGACTCATAAAACGAATAATTCCCCTTCCCTATGTCAAGTTATCTTGTGGACTTAAAAAAAAAAAATAGTAGCAGAAAAATAATTCAACATTCTGAATCTTAGGGAAGAGACCATGAAAGATAAACGACCATCCACATTTACTGGGTTTGAAATGGGAAAATGCATTAAGAATGTGATAAGAAGTTGACCAGGGCATGAAAAAGGGAAGGGATATCGGATTTTTTTCCATCCCAGATCGTGCCGCTTACTTTGTGTATCCAAGCTCTTACTCTGCTTTCTGAGTTCTCGGTAACTGGGAAAACCTTCATTTCCCCCTCCTTTTGTCAAAGTTGTCAGTACAAAAATAGAGACTGGAGGCGACAAAGGAAGGTCCCTCTCCCCGGCTTGTGTGCTGGCGACAAGAACAGCCACAGAGGACTTTCCCAATTGGAACTTTATGGTTAAGCCACTTCTGTGAAGACCCCTTCCTAGCGGCAGCCAGTGCCCGCAATAAGCCCCTAGAGCCGTTGGTCTTTGTTTCAAAACAGCTTATGTGGACTTCTTTCTGCCTTTAAAACCTTCCTCTTACCCCAAACCCTTTGGATGACCCTGTGGTCCACCATAACACGTGTATCCCGCATTGCAGTTCCCTGCTGTTCCTCAATAAACTCTTGTTTCTGAGAGTTGGTCTCCACATTGCTCAATTGAGGTTGACACCTCCATGCTGGAAATTGGTGAATGCAATAAGAAACCAACTCTGATCATTTCAGTAGCATAAATATGACAGTTACACGAAGAAGAAAAAGAAAGAAGGACATGTTTAACATTTATTTTACTTTTGCAGAGCAAGAGTCTTAGACAGTTGCTTACCATGGCTGCTTAATTTAGATAAAAATAACCAGAAGGCATCCACAGGATTAATTACACAGTATCAACTTATTACCACAGCAGAATTAACAGTGACTCACTAAATTATTTAACAGAACCATCAGGAAGCACTAACTTAGTCACATAAGTACTGAAACAGGTGACCTACAAAACACTGTAAACATTTTGTACAATGTACTTTTAGTCCTCCACAGTTTGGTATAAAGCAAATGTAATTTGGCTCTGAAGAAGGTAATTATTGACACAATTTTCAAGTTTTTCATGGGGGAAAGTTGCCCTGTCTGTGGCCTCTTCAAGGTGAAACCTGCAACACCCCCTGGGCAGGTTAAGACTCACACATCTCTCTGCGAACAGTCTAGGAATAGCTAATCAGCTGAATGCCAATCTCCCGCAAATGAAAACTGAAAACAAAAAACAGACAAAAAAGGATTTTGCCAGTTGGAATAGTTTCCAACTGAATTTGGATGTCTGAACGAGGATCCAGCAGCCATAGAGTCACAGGCCCCAGGAAAACTGGAAGAAAAACTTTAGCGATACCAAGGTTAGGCTTAGGAAGATTTCCGTGCTCTGAGCGGCAGTGAGTGCAGACCTAGGTCAGCATGACCTCATGCCTGCCTCGGGGGCCCTCGGCCTGGACAGAGGGATTCATCAGGGAAGCCGGGATGATCTTACTTATAAACTAAGAGACCGAAGAGGCCCCACCTAGGGCACATACGTATTTGGGGGAAGAATAAAGCCCTCAGTACGACGCTGGTCAAAGGCGAAAGCAGAGAAGTGGGATTCCGTCTGTGATGACACCCAACCCAAGGAAGCAGTGAAGACACTGCCGGGGCTTGGGAAGCGCGTCACGTGGACAGATGTAGAAAGCTGTCCTGTTTGTCATGCCCACAGACCTGCCCAAGTGACCATCCAGAGCAGTGTCACAGCGGAAGTAAAACTCACTGGTCTTGTGACACATACTTGACAGACCTCTGTCTATTTGGCTGACATTCTTTGTACAGCCTTTTTTTTTTTTTTTTTTACTGTTTCTGATTCACCATGTTTATTTTTCTCAAATTAAAGACACATTTTGGATTGCGCAAGAGTATTCTCAACTTTCCAGGCAGACAGATTATTTTAATGCTATTATACAGGAAATTATGATTAACAGAATTTTTAGTAGGAATCTTTTTATGGCATTCAGTAGGCGCAGTTTCCTTGAAACTCAGAGATCTATACCTCTCTGAGTACCAACTTAAGCAAGCTGATGACGCAACTCAAAGGTCTGGTTGGAAGACCCAGACAATGACCACAGATGGCAGGAATTAACCCAATGGAAGTAATGACACCTAGTGTCAATGTTTCTAGAAGCACGTTTGTGACGGTTCAACAAGAACATACTATTCTGTTAAAGTCCTAGACAAAGTTAATTAAAAAAATATTGTGTCTGTACAAATCGTTAGATGCTCAAGCCAGGCCTTGGGCTTTGACTCTGGGCGCAGGGCTGTCCTGCAAATGCCGTGAGAAGTGGCGGCTGGAAACCGACTTGCGCATGGAGACAGGACGAAGGGGCAGGAATGTGTCCCCAGGCCAGGGCACAGCACCAGCCACGGCCAGACTCTGTGATCCTTCCACCTGGGGTGAGGAAAGGTCTCAAAGCAGCTCTATAGTAAATTGCTTTATTTGCTAATAATTTAGGAAAATATTTGTTTTCTTTCTGGTCCACAAATTTAGAAAATCAAAACAGGCTGAAAGCTGCCTGTGAGTGTGAAGGGACACGTGTGATGGGAAGCTTCGAGTCCACGTGGCATGTGGGACCAGAGTTCCAGACAGCACTTGGAAACCGGGCGCCTGTGCCTCTAGTTACCCTCCGACCACAGCCTTTGGGAAAGACCAGCGTGAAATCCTGCAGCCGCCTCCACGGAGACGCCCCGCCCTGCTCACAGCCTGCTGCAGCAGCCGCAGCCTCTGGGGTGGGGGTCGACGGCGACCCGGGGAGGGGCTTTCAACCGGGTCCTCACAGGTCAATGCAACGTCCCTCCCCACCTGGCCACCACCAGTGAATGTTCCTTCCTTTTATTGTGGGGGAAAGAAAGCAGAAGAGGAGTATGGGAAATAGAAAGCCGGGGAAAGTCACATGAGAATCCATCTTCGCAGGGAGGGAGCTGCTGGTGCAGGTGAGCGCACACCTGGCCGTCCTCCAGGCTCAGGTCAACTGCTTTAAAGGTGGCTTGTGGGTTAAAAGGCCTGGCGTTGGCCCATGGTCATGGCAGACTTTTCCAGGTAGGTAGAACCTAATGAGACGTAATTATTGCTCTTTGTTTCTGAGGGATTTTGTCTTCAGGAGGGACTGTTTTCGTATTTTCCAGGTGAGAAGCCAACTGGAAAACCAGTGAACGGATAGGGCCACCAAAGACCTGAATGGCAAGGAGGGGCAGTGAGGCTCAGGGAACAATTAGTGCCAGGTGGCCGCATCCGACAAGCCCCGGCGCCCTGGGTGATGGAGCGTCTCCAGACTGGCCGGCGACGGACGGTTCCGCGAATGAGAAACCCGACAGGACGCGAGACAGAAACCTCAGCCTGCACATGCTTGACACGCCTGGCGTGGTCCGCCGTGCACGCCTCAGCCTTCCACGCCCCGGGGGGCGAGTGACATCAGTGAAGGTCAAGCTCGGCTCACCTGGTGGCCCCAGGGCTGCAGTGTCACTGTCCCCCAGGAGAGCCAGGCAGAGCAGGGCCGTCTGCAGGCTGTGGTTTACCTGCACACGATGACGCCAGAAACCTTCTGGACGTGTGCTTCCCTCAGTAAAGTGTCACTTTAGATGCGGCATGACCAAAGCGGCAGACACTCCAGATGTTCTGCCGTGCTCTGCTGCTCGTCCCTGCAGGCGGGGAACTAACGGGCCGGTCAAGGGCGACACCAGCAGCAGTGAGTCCAGGGAGCCTCGGAACAGCCCCCGACACTCACGAGAGTCCAGAGAAGAAAAGGAACGTCAGCGTGTCCCGTCTGTCCGCAACCTCCAGGGCTGACGTCACCGCACAGGGAGCGGCCGGCACAGCGCAGGCTCCGGGAGGGAGGGCCTCTCCCCCCCGCAGAGGCGATTCAAGGACCCTCCATGAACAACCTCTCCCTTGAGTGTTACATGACACTGTGGCTTTGAGGGCAAAATGACGACCCCTTGGTGGTTTGGGAGGATGCTCTGGGTCAGATAGGGACCCATCCTTGGTGCAGAGACCCTGTTTCCCTGGGCCCATCCGCCCCAGTGTCTGCCCTGCTCTGTGAGGAGCTGGGCTCTCTCCGCGCTGTAGCCTCTGCGCCCCGGGCTATGGCTGCTTCGGACTCCTGCCCCAGCACCGCGGCCCGTCTCCCGACAGCCCAGGGCTTCAGTGGCCTTTCGTGGCTGGTGTGGGGAAGCAGAGTTCTCTGCTGGCTCCGAGCAGGGCACCAGCCCTAGTGGTTGTCACCCACAGGGGACGGGGGCTGCGAGGCTGTTTTCACATTCTGCAGGGAGGGCTTGGCTGAGCTGGGCTCTGGTCTGCGCCCAGGAAGCTGACACTGGAATCTCTCAGTTGCCGCTGGGTTTAACTGAAACACCAAGAAGGGAGCAGGAAACGCCCACGTCCACACACAGCCCCTGTGCTGCACCCCGGCTGTGGCCATAGAGGGGGCGTCTCCTGCGCCTGGGCTCCAGGGGCTGCGGCGTCGGGGAGGACTGCAGCAGCTGGCGGGTCCTGGGCACCCAGCGGCCTCCTGAGCTCAGTGCTGCTGTCTGGGGTCCTTGGGAACCAGCGGCTCCTCGGCGGCGTCCTCAGGGGCCCGGGTGGTGGCCGTGGCCAGGCTCTGCATGGCCTCCTGCTGGTGCTGCTTGGCCTTGTTGTAGAGCAAGACGCCGACCGTCACCAGGACAGTGCCGATGGCCGACAGGCTGGTGATTTTGTTGCCAAAAACGATGATGCTCAGCCAGATGGACAGGGCGTGCTTCACCGTGCTGGCGACACTGCGGTGGGAGCACAGGGACAGCGTGTGACGCCTGACTCGCGCCTACGTGGGGCCGGCATGCCGGGGGCTGGGACGGTGGGCTCACCACAGGCTTTGGCAGCTGCAGGGCTGGCCTGAGCCCTCGCTACTTCTGTGCCGAGGGCACTTTTTATTACGAAAAACGTCAAGCAGAGACGTCCAGAAGCACAGCAGCCGACTCCCGGGACCTACACTTAAGAATCAACATTTGCCTTGTCTGCTTCACCCTTAGTTTTTACTGAACCATCTTTGAGTGAACTGCAGACAGCGTGACAGTCTGCCCCTAAGTACTGCAGCCCGGCCTCTGGAAAAGGGACACCTCCCGCTTACCGGCGGCACCTTCACGGCGCCCGAGAACGAACAGCCCGTGAGGGGATCGCCCCAGTGAGGACCGCACCCTGTACACAGGCTCAGGGTCGAATAACGTTCACGTGAAATACGCTAAACGTTAACAGTGGCTTCTCTTTGGTTGGGATTATGGATAATTTAAACTTAATTTTTTGGTACTTTTCCGCCTTTCCCAAACTTTCCATGATAAGTACCTACTCATCACTCGTACAATATGAATAAAACGAAAAATACTATTAAAACAATAATGGGTTTTCTGTTGTCTGTTTTTGGACCATCACTAATGATCACTAACAATCACTAAAAAACCAAGTCTCAGGAACGTGTGTTAACAATTCCTGGCTCCAAAAATAAACAACTGGGGAGGCAGACACAGCGACCAAGTCCAAAAGGCTGCCACGAGCTTCAGAAAGGCGTAGAAAGCGAGACTGTTGGCGAAGTGTCTGCAGACATCTCCACTCAGGACCAGGGCACGCCGGGTGGGACGGCAGACGTGGAGCGCGGGGACGGCACAGCTGGCAGAGCCCGCAGGCGGGAGGCTTCACTCCCTGACATCTCTGCAGAACGCTGCCTGGCGCCCCACAGGCCGCGGGCTCTGATGAGCACCTGTGCGTCGCTGCCCCGACTGGCGCCAGACAGAACGAGGGGCGGGAAAGCTGCGCCAAGGGTGGCCCTGCGCGTCCCCACAGGCAGCTGGGGCTGCTGCTCCAGGAGGCTGGAAGATGGTGGCGCAACTTAACCTAGTCCGTTTTCCCTTCACACTCGGGGACAATCCCACCTCCTCCGAGGCAGGTCGGAAGTTAAAGAGGAAAGGCCCCCGGATGACGTGGCCATATGAGGTATGTGGCCAGCTGCTGACATCAGCTGTGTGGATTTCTATGCCCCCTGGTACCACGAGCTCGCGCCTTTTTATTTGCTGCCGAAAACTCTCCTGTCTTTAAACTGCACTTTCATTAAATGTGCCCAGTAAGAGAAGTGAAAAGGAGCTAATGGGATCCTCAGCTCGCCTCTGAGTTTGCAGAGCTGCACTGCCGCACACGGGAGCCACTGGCCACCTGTGTTTATTCAAATTTAAACTGATCAAAATTAAATAAAATTAAGAATTCAGTTCTTCATTGTATGGTCCACATTCAAGCGGTCGGTCGCCGTTCGTGGGCAGTGGCCCCTGGACTGGGCAGCACAGAAATGCAACACTCCATCCCTGCAGGCAAGCGCATATTCTTTTACACAGAGGGGGTCTCGCTATGTTGCTCAGGCTGGTCTTGAACTCCTGGCCTCGAGTGATCCCCCAACCTCAGCCTCCCAAAGTGCAGGGATTACAGGTGTGAGCCCCCACGCCTGTGCTGTTCTACACAAGAAAAATATTCAGACAATTCCAAGAAACTTCTAACGTGAAGACCTCTGGTGGAGATTCCCCTAAAAATCGATCACACACTTTGCCATCCGCGTTCCAAGCAGCACCAGCACGAAATGGTCTGGCCGCGGTGTGTAGCCACAGTCATCACCACAGAGGAGAACACACGTATCTTTTCTAAAAATACCGAGACCAGTCTCCTCTGCAAATAAAGTGGACACGCCATGTCTCCTGGGAGTTTCTCCGCTCACCTGAAAGTCACAGGGGAGATCTTCCCCATGAGGGCGTAGGCCGTGACGCTCTGAAGATGGAACAGGACACCGTCTGTCAGAAGCAGCAACACGATGTCCTGGTTGTAGCTGAAGCTCTTTCCGCTCCTCCCGATCACCGGCGCATCCTACGTGCCAGAACAGAAGGACACTCTGCTGTGTTTTCCTTTTACCAACACCCACCGGAAAGACCCAGTGTCACTCCTGCCCAGCAGCTGATGTTGGGGAGAGCTCTGAGAACGGCCTTCTAGGGTGACAACATGACTGCAGGGATCCACTGCAGCCGAGCACACACACGGCCAGCGAGGACTTGAGCAGGTGCCCAACATCACTAATCACTGGGAAAATGCAAATAAAACCCACAAGATTCCACCTCACATCCACTAGGATGGCTGCCGCCAAAAACAAACAAGCAAACACACGAAACAAAAGCAGAAAACAACGGTCGGCAAGGATCTGAAGACACTGGGCCCCTGTGCCCTGCTGGTGGGATGTCACACAGCAGCTGTCGTGCAAAACAGTGTGGCGGTTCCTCAGAAACGAAACCCAGAGTCACCACATAACCCAGCCCTTCCTGCCGGGTCTGCCCAAGAGGACTGAAAGCGGGACCCGAAGATGCGTCTGCCCCGTGCTCGCGGGTGCACGACTCGCGGCAGCTAAAATGCGCAAGGAGCGCAGTGCCCGTCCGCTGGTACATGGACAAGTGACGTGCGGCTCATCCACACCGTGGAATGTTATTCAGCCTTAAAAAGGAAGAGAATCGGAAATCCGGACGCACGCTACAACACGGATGCGCCTAAAAGTCGTGATGCCCAGTGGAATGAGCCAGATACAACAGGCGAATGCTGTGTGTCCCTCACACGGGGTCCCAGAGTCCTCAAACCCACGGACACAAAGGACAACGGTGGTGCCAGGGCGGGGGCAGGGTGGGGCGCTGGTGTCCACAGGGACAGAGCCTCACTTTGCAAGATGAGCAGAGTTAGGGGATGATGTGAACATGCCTAATACCGCCTGACTGTACGCTGAAAAATGGTTAAGATGGTAAATTTTATGTTACGTATATTTTACCACAATTAAAAAACATTTAAACATGCATATTCTCTCAATCAACCATTCCAATCCCAAAATGTAACCCGGAGAAACACCCTCATCTGCAAAGAGCACGGACGCAGAAGCTCCCTGTCTCCTGCGTCAGGGAGAGGCGACCGTCGTCCGGGGGAAGTGATGTCAGGGCCGGAGCCACGGTCCAGAGCGCGACCGGGACACAGGGCGGCCAGTCCCCCTGCGCTGTGGGAAGCACGGGTCCACCCAGACACGTGCTCACGCCCTGTGAACTGACAGGCTCGTTCCGCCTGTACGGATGTGCCTTGTCCGTGTCCACAGGCCAGGCCTGGGACGGCTGGAGACAGGCTCCCCGTTTTGTTGTTTTTCTAAGAGAAAAGGAAGTCAAGCAACCCTCACAATCCTCACACAAAGATCTCAGGGAACTGCCACAGCCCGAGCAGCCCCCGCCGGTGAGCTGCGGTTCGCTTCCCTGCCTCCCCCCGAGGACGCGCCTCCGCAAAGCCGCCACGCCGGCCGGCCCCGTGCCTGCAAAGTGGACCGCGTCCTAGTTCCGAGACCCACCATGAAGAAGATCCAGGCTGGGACCAGCATAGCCATGGCCGCAGCGCTGGTGTAGAACTGCAGCTCCGGGGCCCTGCGGGGGAAACAGCGCACGCTTGACACCCCACCTGGGGCAGGTTTCAACCCAGGTGTTTCCCAGCAAGCATACCCTGAAGCACCCAAGCAAACTAGAAGTTAATTTTCTTCTGATGACAAAGACGGACCTCCGCGGCTACCAGAATTTAAAAGGCGACCCAAACCCAGGCTGGTGGTTAAGGCTGCTTCATGGGGCAGCTGGAACAGGCAGGTGTTTCCCCAGTTTGAACAAGGTATGTTTCAAGGCCACCTAGGCCAAGATGGAAACATGCCAGGCCTACAGGGTATCACGAATTTCCACATGGGCAGCAGCCTCAGGCCTCGTGGGGCCGGCGGGGGGTCCGTGGACTTGCGATACTCACGAGAACCTGTACTTGTCACCGCTGAGGAGCTTCTTGGAAAACACGTTTTGCAAACTGGAATAAAGAAAGGAAGAGGTCACGCACCGACTCTGGCCGTCGGAGTGGGACGAACGGTGCACGGACGCTTGCACTCTTCCCCAGCGAGGGTCAGCGGCACGCGCAGCCGCAGAGCTCCCAAGGCGGGCGCCACGCCGGGCTCTGCAGGCGCCTCGCGGTGCGTGGGCAGCTCGCCCGCCCCTCTCGCACAGGCGTGGACTGAGACGCTCAGGCTGGCGACTGGCCTGAGGTTGCGCGTCTCAGGTGTCAGAGGACCCCGCAGCCCCAACCCCGAATGGGGAGTTCCCACAAATTGGCAACCGCCGTGGCCGGGACCCTGGGACCCCAAGGCACAGGCACGAGGGAATGAAAGGCTGTTGAGATAATGAGGACCGCGGGAGATGCGTGACAAACTCAGGAGCAGGACAAACCGCGGGGAAAACACAAATGGCCA